CTTATGTTGGGTGTATCCAACACAAAACACACGTTTACGCGCAATATACGCGAAAACCTTGAACTCCCCCTGAATGTCCCATCGTTTCCGAATTCTCAACCTATGTGTTGGGTTTTTTGAGAGTTGACACCTGTCAAAAGTTGAAGATACTGAGCGAAAACTATGGAGCCAATATAAAGATTTTTTAACCTATAATTCTCTTTATCGCTGTTGTCCATGTTACAGTAATTAGTAAACCTTTGCTAAATATTTTTTTAAGTTGTATGCCGCCAAAACATCGTCAATTCACTCGTAGTCCTTCATTGTTTTTGTTAAATTGTAAAATTGGTTTCTTAGTGAATAAAGTTACAATAAATTGAAACTGGTTGCCTGTAAGACTACCCTCTTTCATGATAATATTTGTGCGATGGGGCCAAAACTATACAATAAGCTGCCTAATTATATACTTGAGAATAACGACAATTCCAATTTTAAAAAGCGATTATTTAATTTATTGACTGGGAAAGCATATTATAAAGTCAGCGATTACTTAAATGAACAGAACATAGAATAATAGTTAACCACCACAAAATAATGACATAAATATAATTAAGAGTTTAAATTAAAATTAAGATTTCACATTTTGTAATTAAAATGTAGTAGTATACTGTTAAATTAATTTAATTATGTAAATTGTATGCCGTAAAATTGGCAATACGTACTGACACAACAATGTTAAATAAGACCTTATAGACGTGCGTACACAATAAATGATTTGATTTGATTTGAAGTTAATGTTTCTAAATAATAACCCTTATTTGCTCGTTCTCAATCTCACTCTAACCTGCTTTTAACTATACCAATTTTATTTTATAATTCACGCTAAATAAAATTTCAAAGCGTATTTATAATAATATCTAAATGTACAACATAATATGAGCCTTCGAATTATATTATTGCAATTTTTCAGAAATTTTTCCAGAAAACTTTCCGCTATCGAAATTTTTCGGAAAATTACCCAACAGTAGTTACACCATACTATTGATATTATTATCATTATCGATTTCTTATTATGTATGTAAACATACATCATACACAACATATCACACAAAGTCAATTATTTGCCCAAAATATCGTTGTGTTTTATTTCAAGAGGGTTATGATAGAATAACATAGAGTATTATAGTCCTCAGATGCTGTATCGTACACCCTTTTACCATACGACGAACGACAACTATTTATCGAGTGTTAGGTGTTCGCGATTGCGACAAATTAGAAACCAAACTTTTATTTTTACATGTAATCGCATATATTTCTTCTTTCGTACAAATGGACGCATCAGCTGACACGGGAAAAACGTTAACCGTTCAGTGTATATCGATCGCAGCGCAGTTTCATTAAGAGCCGTTGCACTACTTCAAATCCGATTCTGCTCGACAATTATGTAACTGATGCGATGGGTGACGGATTCCAGGTTGACGTTGTTTACACGAATTACAGTAAGGCTTTTGATCGAATTAGGCATTCTATACTTTTGAAAAAACTTGCTAACATTGGCATTAGAGGTGATTTGTTCAGATGGTTCGCTTTATATATCAGCAACCGGTCAAAGGCCGTTGTTATCAATAATTACAACTCCAGCTGGGTTCCTGTTCCTAGCGGTGTACCTCAAGGATCTTTACTGGGACCGCTTCTATTTGTGGTCTTTGTGAACGATGTTAGCCTGTGTCTCCAATCATCTCGGTTATTATGCTTCGCAGATGATATCAAGATATACGCTAAAATAACTAGTGTATCTGATACGGAAAAGTTACAAGCAGATCTTGACAGTTATTGTGTTGATAGTGAGTTGGACCTGAATGCCTCAAACTGTGTAACCCCATTCGCTTCAACTATGTGATGAAGGCTGCAAAAAGTATCTACTGTGAGGATCTCAGCGTTATTCACGATTCCAAGTTGCTCTCATGTTGATGTCATAATTCTAGAGCCAATTATAAAGCACTGGGATTCGTGATGCATAGTTCGGTTGACTTGCAAGATGCCAAAACACTGAAAATCTTATACTGTGCCCTTGTGCGTGGCAACTTGGAGTATGCCTCTCAGATCTAGAACCCAATGTATAACATCTATATTTCGCGTGTTGAAAGAATCCAACAAAAATGTATTAGTTACTTATGTTTTAAAATTAATCAGCCTTACCGCTCTACAAACTATTTAGGTATTTGCAAAAGACACCATATACTTCCCCTTGAATTGCGGCTTAAAATAGCAAACATAAACTACCTCATTAAAATTACCACCAATACCGTCGATTACCCCGAGCTTCTATCTGAGATTCACTTAAGGGTTCCAGCTAAGCATTTACAATGTCGTTTAGTTGTTTAGTGTTGTCAATGGTGTATTTTGCTACTGTATTTTTATCAGAAGGGAACTGTTTTTGCTTATAATTATTAAATGTAGTTTCTATTACATTGTGATACAAGCTGTTTGTACCCTCAAAATTAAAATAAATAAATAAATAAAATAAAAAGAATGCATCTAATTACTTCCAAGTTTCAGGCCCAAGCAAATATCAGTTTTGTATGAAATACATATTTTTCTAGATGCCCTTAGAGTCTAAATTTAAATTTTTATTGAATTGATATTCAATAATTTTTATATGAAATTACTCCACTAGTTTGTCATAATTATGAATACAAAAATCAAACACTCAGAAAAAATTCCTCTATCCGGCCGGATTCGAACCGACGTCTTCTCACATACCGTGCCAGATGCTATACTAACGAAGCCACGGAACGAACCAGCGGACCTCACGAATTTTTCTATGTGCTTGCATCGTATTTTTGTATTTGGTTTTTCAACGACTTTTTAGCCGTAGCGCCATCTATGAGAAATCTATGATGTTTCGTCACCTTTACAGCTCCAGCCCCGGCTAGAGATGTCGCTATTCATTGTATTTAAATTTTTATTGAACTGATATTCAATTATTTTTATGTGAAATTACTTCACTAGTTTGTCATAATTATTACTACAAAGATCAAACATTCAGAAAAAAATTCTAACTCAGGATCTTTGTATTATACCCTAGTGACATCATTATAGAATATGTAGAGCTAAATTTGAATGCGATATTTGCCCTAAGTTATCAAGAATAGAACTCGTGCGCTAGGCTCTCCTTTGACATTCATAATCTGCCCATGTCACGGCTCGGATCTAACAGCCCACAATAACCTCAAAAAGTCTCTCCACCGAGAGCATCACCTGTCTTGCCTCTTTCGGTGTGGTCAAGACCGATCAACTAGAGTAACTGGCAGAAAAGTCATCTTGGCGTGACCATGAGAAATATGTTGCTCGTTCGACGGGTTGGGTGTTACATCCCTCCGCACAGCAGGTCTGCTTTCCGTGGGAGTTTCAGATATATGATTTCAGAACTAAAGACGGTCTTCTTTTTTAAAATAAAGTTGAAACATTATTAACATCATACCAAGCCGTGTTGCGCACGGGCGGCCATGTTGTTCCTGCATTTTCGAGGTAAAACGGCTCGTTGACTGGGTATAACCCTACAATCCCATTCTATTTGGGATCTAGTATAAGAATTTTTTTTTTTATATATTCATTGTTTATCTTACCTTTTTTTTATAACGCACACATAAACAACCATAAATTACACCCAAACTCACGAGAGAAATAAATGTAGGCCATACAAATCCGTTATCCATTCGGCCACAGAGGCAGTTTATATATATTTATTTACATATTAATCATATTATAATACATAATAATAGTAACTGTAGCGTTATTTATAATTTTTCGCGTTTATTGCTGCAGCGAGAAAATCAGCGATGCAGTAACTTACTGCAGCATTATGCTGAGATAAGTCCCGTGTTGGCATGACGCTACAACACAGACCTTACTATACTATCTACTTTGCATCTTTGCTATAATTTTAATTAAAATTATATGTCAAATAATTATTTGTATGTAACTGCTTTAGTGTGGGTTTGTGTTGTTGTATTCGTGCCAATAAAAGTGTCTCTGTGTCTATATATGAGCCCTAACCGTTTAATTGGTTCTAAGTAGATCAGAGTGAAGAAAGGTGTTAACCTAACTTATTCTTTAACCTGTGAGCCGCAGAATTCATTTTGGTGTGACTCCTTATTGCATCATTAGTGAATGACTTGAAGAAACATTTTAAGCCAATTTCATCTTTAATTACGATATGTTAGTGTTGGGTAATTTTCCGAAAAATTTCAAATAGTGGAAAATTTTCCGGAAAAATCCTGAAAAATTGGAAAAATATAATTTGAAAGCCTCATATTATGTTCTACGTTTAGAAGCTTCTTTCCAAGTTTTATTTATCGTGAATTATAAAATAAACTTGTTCTAATAAAAGCCACAGAAAGAAAACGAGATTTTAAATGATTCTACAACAGCGAAAAGAAACATTTTCAATGGCTCCATCGTTTTCAGTCAGTAACTTCAACTTTTGACAGGTACCAACCTCAAAATTGGAAAATTAAAAGAAAAATATTAGGAAAACATTCGAAAAATATTTAATTTCCGAAAATCACGCTTTTTCCAAAATGGAATTTCTTCCATGACCCAACGCTACATTGCATACACAAACTTCAACCGAAAAGCTGGAAATCATTTACAGTTTTCTATTGAATGGCTCTCAGAACCAAAAAGTTGGCTATGAATTTCTTATAGGTATATCTTAAGGCAACGACTGTTCCCTGGGACTTTACGTGATCATAGGAACAATGTGACTGGGTCTAAATCACTTCACATATTATGTACTTCACATTTTGATGTTCATAGGCCTTTAGGAGGGTAAAGCGCCCAAGTGGTTGGTTTATTTGGCAGTATTGTTACTATACGATTTTCGATGCAGCCAGAGGAAGTTCTTTAACTTTTCTGGCAGTAAAACTTCAAGTCCGTTTTTCCAAGTTTTATTTAAAAGTTTACAAAGTGCCAGGTTAAATATGTAACCGGCGGTACTTCTAACAAACTCGATCGAGATAGTCACCATTTGAGGAAAAATCTTATCACCGCGATACAGAATTTAGATAATGGTTCACTGCCATCTAGCGGATTTTTAGGAAATTATACGATGAGTAAAGTTGCTTAGAGGAGTTTGAAAAAAAATGTTATTTTTGATCTTTCTGGTTATGCATATCAATTAATGCTGATTTGATTTTTTCTCTCACATGACACAATTGACATTCTCTCGAGCCTGAATGAGTTTACTTACTCTTTATCTCCATTGTCACATTCAGCTTTAATATTTTGAATAACGTGCCAAAGTATCTTCTCCAAGCGTTTTTTCTCAGCATCAGCTACCTGTTTAGCTTCATCGATCTTAATGTTACGCATTTTATCAAACATTCTAATATCCGATATTAATGCTGCGTCAATAGAACTCAGAGTAGCGTTTAGAATTTTTTCAGCCTGTGATTTCTTGCACATCGCTCTCTCATAAAAATTCGTCGCATTATACTTTGTTGATGATGATACATAATCCGGATCACGAAATTTATGGAGTTCATGAGTAGATTCCCAAGTTAATTCTGATTCCGTTGTAGCAATAGACCTTCGGCCGTCCTCAATAACTGAAGAAAGAGAGAAAAGAAAGATGACAATTACAATAATATACAATTAGAAGGAACCTCACAGGGAAATATTAATATGTGCCAGAAAACCATGGTGTCAAACTATGTTCCCTATACTATGAGTACCAGAGCAACGGAATTCTAAGGCACTACCCAGTACACGACACAACACGTAGACAAAAAATAGTTTAGAAACGTTCAATTAAATAAAAAAAATAAAAATTACCGAAATAGAAACTCATAATCAAATGCTAGTTACGCGTAATTCCACTATCCCTGACAATTTGGATAGAATGGGCTATAGTAATATTTAATATTTATGGTTATATATAAACCTCTATAACTATGTACTTAAATGTAAGTCCTGGTTAATTAATTAATGAGGCACTACTCCAATTATTTTAATTTGCTTCCATATTTAAAGAAAATACCTGTTGTATTTTCAGGTATCGATCCGTTTGCATTCCAGTCCCACCACGGCCGTGATTCCGGAACTGCAAAATAAAGATTACAAAATTTACTTCAAATGTACCGTACTCTGTTATTTCGCTAATAAATTTGTAAAAGACATAACAGATTAAATATTTATGTGTAATTAGCAACTAAACTTTGTTATTTTAAAGCGTGCGATAGTGAAATCAGTACTTTCGTAAAACAAAATATTTTCTGAATACGCGTCATTTCACATGCTAATTTGATTTGTACTAGACAAAAAACTAAAAAAGAAATCTCTGTTTGTCTATCACAAGGCTTTAAAGTATTTTAGTAAACACATACTCATGCGTTTGCATCACCTGTGTTCCTATTTTAATTTTATCAAATTTTTTGTATATACAAAAATTTTTGTTTTGTATTTTTGTTTCGTAATTATTTATTTATGTTTTAAGTTGAATGTTTTGATCGTGTTTTGTTTTAGTTCTGTTTTGTTCCGTTTTCTCTTTTTTTTGTCTTTTGTCTTTTGTGGTGTCATTGTGGTAAACAAATAAATGTATTTTCTTTCTTCTTTCTTTCTACCTGCTTTATGAAACTGAAGATCACAAATGTTTATCAAAGGGTATAGGTACTTAGTAAGTTTTTTTTTTAAACTATTTTCATAAGACGTATTACGGACGCAAGCCTCTCGTGCAAATGAGGAAGTAATTTACGCGCTATAGCCACCGTTTGTCATGATATTGATTATCATAATACTTACGTTGTTTCTCATACTGCGATTATTTCGAAGTCAATGAGATTTTTGAAGATATAGATCATGTTGAATGGGTTAAATTTGTCTGGACATAATTTACAGAAAAATGGAAAAACATATTTCTTCTGGTAATTAAGCTGTTTGCAATTGCGCTAGCAAACCTCTTAAATATTTTAGTAAATACACACTTATGTGCTGCTTCGGTCTGCCTGCCCACCGTGCTTGAACGGTTACCACGCTGGATCGGCGACGCAGATGTTTCGGGTTGGATTCCTGGACCGGGACAAATATTTATATGGCCAACATTTATTTCTCTTCTGAGCTTGGGTGTAATTTGTGTGTGCTAGTCCTGATTAATTAATTCATGAGGCACTGCTCAAATTGTTTTATAATTTTGTTCCATACTTATAGAAAATACCTCTTATTGTTGTAGGTGTCGATCCGGTTGGTTTCCAGTCCCCCCATGGCCATGAGATTGACACTGCAAGACAAACAAGAAATAAAGATCAAAAAATTCACTTCAGATGTACTTAACTGTACTCTGACGCTTCGCTAGTAAATTTTGAAAAATAACTGATTAGGTATTTATGTGTAATATTCAAATATCTAATAATTTTGTGTTTTACTATGATCACAAACATTTTCTTTTATAGAAGCATTTATTTGAACGAAATCCAATATGACAAATATGGCGTTGTTTCCCTTTGCTTCTGTATTTAAAATTGTTACACTTGGCAATAAAATAGACGACTCGGTTCCCATAAATTTATTGTATAGACAGAAAAAAAGGTAAACAAGAACAAAGGAAAGATAACAAACAGGCTGTAACAAAAATAAAAATATGAAAAAAGGTATAACAGTATATAACACTCTCTTACTACGCATTAACAAACAATTCAGACACTTAGCCGAAAAGGGCTTGTGTACATATATATATATCCAATGCTTTAAAACAGATTACGAGTGGTTGAGTTTACATGATGAATCCCTATGCACATCCTCACTCTTCGAGAATGGGAAAACGGTGTTAAAAAGGTAGGATGACGATGAAAAAGGTCGCATCATCGCACAGTTATACACGCCCACATGAAAGTAACGCATCTTGTATTGTTGCATTACGGGCGATATTTGAACAAAGCCCTCCAGCTTGATGGACTCAAAGTGATAAGCTTGACGAGCTCTTGACTACAGTTACTGTTTCTATCATACTCTTTGAAAGCAGCATCATCAACCCATTAACCTCCTAAGGCCCCAGGTACAAAATGTACATAATATGTGAAATGATTCAAACCCAGAGAATATTATTCCTATGATCACGTAAATGCCCAATATATATTATAATGAAAATACCGCATTCAAATTTAGCGCTATGTATTCCATATGACCATAATCCTATGGTATATAGAAAAATATGTTTTCATACAAAACTAAGGGCATCCTTGCTTGGGCCTGAAGTATGAAATTACATTTTAAGGTACATTGGGCGTTCAACGTTCCCAATCATGACGTACGCCAGCGTCGCATTCGCTCAGACAAATCCCGCGCTAACCGCCTGCAGGCTCTCCAAAATAGATTCATGCGCAACGCGACGGGTGCCCCGTGATACCTGCGCAACGCTAACCTCCACATAGATTTACGGCTCCCCACAATAGCCCAATTCATGAAACAGGCATCGAGGAAATATTTCGACTCTGCTCCTCACCACCCCAACACCCTCGTGGTGGCTGCATCCTCTTACGACCCCCTCAGGGAACACCCCCGCCGCGTACGTAGGACCCGTCGGCCAAGTCCTCAACGACCCTGACGACCATATCACTCTCGCCACTTTGAAGGCCAACCAGATCGCTAGTCAGTCCCGTCCCGCACGCTCCAACCGTCCTCGCCGGCGAGGTCGTAGAGCCCCTGATTTCAGGACGTGCACTAGTAGATTCTCTCCTACAGCACGCCCTTCTGGCGGAAGTCTCCAGTAGCGCCCTGAGCCGAGGTCCGTGCCCACTTGGGCGCCCTCAGGCCCGCTACTTAGCTTTAAGTTTATTTTAGGGGTTATGAGCCTTCGGCTCGCCCTTTTTTCCGGTGGCGCAGTAAAGGCCATCAGCGGCCAACTGCAAAATATCCTTTAAAAAAAAGGCGTTCAATGCTTAGCCCATGGCAGTTTGCTGGGTCTTAGGAGGTTAATACGTCCCACTGCTGGACACGGGTCTCCTCTCAGGCGAGAGTTTCGGCCAGTCATTCGGCTTGAATAAACTTAGAAATTATAACGTAATATAATTCGCGTTAGAACGCAAACCCAAATTCAAACCGACCAATCGCATCATCAACCCATTTACACGTCCCACTGCCGGGCACAGCTCGCCTGTCAGGCGAGGGTTTAGGTCATAGTTATAGAATAGAATACGTATATTTGTCAGAATACAGTAATGATAAAGGTCTTAAATAAAATTAGGTACATGGTATTCAACCTGCAAGCAGATGTGCAAATATTAATTTCATGTTTGGTTTCTATTGTTAGTTGCATTTCAAATTAATGTAAATTTTTATTTGTCAATTCTAAGTATTCTTTATTACTATAGAAGCTATGTGTCAAAAGCCATTTTGTCAACTGTAACTGTGTCTAATTTTGCTTGCTTCGCTGTCAGTCGAACAAACGAAGACTAAAGCGTGAATGACGCTCTGTATACGATTTTAACGCCCTATAAGTTCGGACACTTTTTAGCGCGGATCCGACGTCCATATAATTGTAAGTCAATGGAAAAAGCGCTAAATTGCCTTCTACGTAAGGGGTGCAAGGATTTGTTTTTTGTAAAAAAATAAGTGCGCATTTGACCTCCATCTCACCTGATGGAAGGTGACGATGAGGTCGGGGTACCTGGCATGCACACCTAAACAATGCCTATTCACTCTCGCCTTGAAAAGGTCCAAGTTATAGCGTTCGGGGAACAAGTTTGCAGGCAGGGAATTCCACTCCCTAGCCGCTCGCCATACAAATGTGGAACCTAAACGCTTCGCGCGAATCCGGGGAATATCCACTACATAGGGGTGGAACCCCAGCCTACGTCCAGTCTCCCCGATGATGGAAAGGGGAAGGCGGAATCAAATTATGCAATACCATCGCATACTCTCCATGATATTTCCTGTACAATACCGATAAGCTGGCAAACAGCACCAGGCGCACGACTTCTTCGTCCCGTTACTTGATATTATAAAAAAAAATTCCAGTAATCGACTTCAATAAAACTTGACAAATAGATGCAATTCCACGAACTTTTGATGACAGTATTTTTGTAAAAATGTTATAGGTATATATTGTTAAGTTTCATATTTTAATAAAAGGTATAGGAACCATAAACACCACGATCATTGCAGAATAAAGGTTTGATCATAAAGGTTTCATTCAACGTAAAGGGAATAATTTTACGGAATTTTACCTGGTGGAGGTGTGGTCATACAAACTGCCACAGAAATCGCCGATAAGCCAAAAACGAAAATCTGGAAAAAAAAATTGTTTTTATTATTGATACAAAGATCAAACAAAACACAAAGAAAAACCACTTCGATTCAATTTGACTCGAACCAGCGTCTGTGGCCTAAATGTGGCTACAACTTTTACCTAGCGAGACACAGTTTGTACCAGCAAATCTTACGAATGCTTATTGCATATCATTATATTGATCTTTTTTAACAGACTTCAAAAAAGGAGGAGGTTCTCAATTGTAATTTTTTTTTTGTACGTAGGTATATCATGTGATAATTCCGGCATTTGTGATTTTGATGATTCTTTTTGTTGTGAAGAGGGTACCTTAGTATTGGTCCCATTTAAATTTGAAGAAAATATCCCATATCTAAGGGTTGTAAACTAGGGGATAACCCGGTTTCGCGCACTTTCCGGTAGCCAAATTTCAATAAAACTTGGCAAATAGATGTATTTCACGAACTTTTGAGGTCTTTTTTAAACTACCAATAAGTCATTTGCCTGGTAGTAAGTGACACGTCTATACATTACATTTGTAGTGCCACTCAGAGCTTTAAATCGCAAAGATCTTAGGGGCACGGCCACTGCGCCTGTTACCTTAAATTAACAAGTCGCATGTGCCTGTAATGTCACTAGCACCCTTACCCTTTAAAACCGCAAAGCAGTAATGCTCACATTACTGCTTGGTGACAGAAATAGGTAAATTTGTTACAAATGTAGAAGTACTTATTCAATAAACTAAAGAAAAAGGTGGAGCTTGTGAACACACATTAAGTGCAGGAAGATGTCATCGGTTGGATGTCGGTTTGAATTTCGGTTTGCATTCTAACACGAATAACATAACGTTGTAATTAAGTCAAGTAATCATTTATTCCATAGGTAAAATCTTTACACTTAAAAACGTCATTTTGAAGGTACTTTTTAAGCTTCTGCTCGTTCATTACGCTGACCTCCCTGAGAAGAACGAGCAAGAAACTCTAGGGATTGCTCTTTTTTTTTCAAATAAACTTAAATGCTATGGAATACACTTTGAATCATAATTGTGTGGAATCTAAGACTCTTGTTGTCTTTCCATATTTCTTTATCTAAAACATATTCTTCAATTTTGTAATATGACTTTTCAATCAAAATACTTTTAATGAAGTTTTAAACTAAGAAAATGATAATCTTAATATAGTCTCCGGAATCTTTTATTCAAAACGTAGACAGTTCCCCACAATTACCTTAGTTAAACGAAATTGTGGTACCATGAGTTTGGATTTAGTTCTAGGGTTAATATTATGAATATCTTCTTTCTTAATGAAATTATGTATATTTTTACGGGTATACAAAATCTTTGAGTAAGTGTACTGTGATGCCACAGTCATGATATCAGTCTCCTTAAGCTTTTCACACACACAAATATGGTTTGTATATCTGCCACTTTACCCCACATGAGAATCCCGTAGGATATTATACTATGGAAGTAACTAAAGTAAACTAGTCTAGCAGTAGCAACATCGGTAGGCTCACGTATTCTACGGACTGCATAAGCAGAGATTAATTTGTAAAAACGTTTTTCTTAGTGTTTCGATCTTGTAGTTTGTTATAATAATTATAACAAAGTAGTGGAGTTATTTCACAACAAATAATTGAATATCTGGTTAGTAAAAAACATCGTGACGTTCGATAAAATTGAAAATTACAATTATTAAAGCGACTTCTCTAGTCAGTGATGGTAGCTGTAAGATAACCAACCTCTCTAAGTAAAGAAATAAATTTCTCATAAATGGAGTTTTGGCAAAAAAATCCGTTAAAAAAAACAAAAACAAAGATATGTAACAAAGATTGCCCTGGTATAGCATAGACCCAAGTTCGAGTCCTTTCAGATCGAATAAATTTTTCTTTTGGATTCAATCTTTGTATTAATAAATAATATTTATGACACTAAGTCGCTGATAACGCATACACATTCAACATAGTCTACATAGTCAACAACTCATTAACCTCTGTCAACTGTTTCTGGATGGATGACGGACTAAGTCGCAAATTGCCAATTTATATTGGCCATTTGCGACTTAGTTACTTTTCGGCCTACGGCGACGAATAAATTTTTAGTTAAATATTTTTGGAATATGTGAAGAAGCCCTTTCATATCATCATCAAAAGCCTATCGTAGTCCACTGCTGGACATAGGCCTCTTTCAATGTGCGCCATTTCGCCCGGTCCTCAGCTCGTTGCATCCATCTGCTGCCAGCAGACCTCCGCAAATCGTCACTCCATCTCGCCATAGGACGTCCTACACTACGTTTGCCAAGCCGTGGTCTCCACTCAAGATCTCGCTTCCTCCAGCGGTTATCGGTTCTTCGGCAGATATAGCCAGCCCAGTGCCACTTTAGCTTGCTTATTCTACCAGCTATGTCAATGACCTTAGTTCTCTGTCGGATAACCTCGTTCCATACCCTGTCCTTCAAAGAAATTCCGAGCATAACTCGTTCCATAGCTCGCTGAACGACTTACATATGAAACTTAAAATTGCTTATATATTCGCATTGCTTTAGTTAGTTGAACGACAAAAAAAGTTAAAAATTGACTTACCCCTATAACGTTCATCCTGGCAATCAGTAGTTTCTAAATAAAATAATGTATAACAATCCTATTTATAGCTTGACTAATTTAAATTTGTGGTTTTACTTATAATATATTCGTACCTTATCAGGAACAAATGGCTGTGTACATATGAAGGTAAACCATAGTTTTTATTTTTAACTGAAATGACTTTAATTAAAATTGTTTTTCAATGTAATTATTTCCTGGTTTTCCGTATAGTGGGTGCTCTTAATGGTGCACGTAGTACAGGGGTGCTATGTGCATATGTATTTAGTAGCAGTAGAACTCATTGTGAAAAAGTCCAGGGAAGTACTGCCACCTTACCTATTTCTGCCGCAAAGCAGTAATGTAAGCATTACTGCGTTCCGGCTTAGAAGGGTAAACGTGCTGGTGAAATTAAAGACACATGGGACTTGTCAACTTACGTCTGGTGACCGGCGCAGTGGCAGAGCCCCTAAGATCTTTGAAATTTAAGCCTCTGAGTGGCACTGCAACTGTTATGGTTAAGCGTGTCGTTTGCCACCAGGCCATGGCCATGGCCCTACAGACCTTAGGAGGTCTAATCCAGCGCCCACATTTCAAATGTTCGGGTCACTGAGATAGTCGAGTAAAAAATCTAATAAAAATTACATGTATGTACAGAATGTAACAAAAAAGGTTGGAATATACTCTAACGTAATTTTGAAAAAAACATATTTTATCCAATTAAAATCCGGATGTGGTTTTAGTGTGCACTTGCATGTAGTAAAGTAATAGGTTGTAAATAAAGAACGCAAAACGTTCTTATAATTATTTCATTTGACATTGCTTATTTGGCAAATTTATTTTTATTATTATGACATTATTTAACTTTCAATCTAATTTTAATGTTCGTGACACTTTGTACAATTTATTTATTTTTATTTATTTATTCATTTAGAACACCAACATGTTACACAGAAAAAATAAGATAAAAAGACAACATTTGGTAAGGCACAGTTTTTATGTGTAAGCAAATTAGGTACAAGTATGCACATCACTCATTATATACTCAGATACAAAAATAATAATAAATAAAAACAACATTAAATATTAATGCAATTATTATTAATGTCCTTTAAATGTACTTTAATTTAAGTTAAGTAATTGATTATAAGATCGGAATAAATAGTTGATTGATGTAAGTACGACAGTGCAATTGTATTAATTAAATATTTTGTGAAAGATAAAATAAATAATAATGAAAATAAATTATTAAGCTGTAGGAAAGCGTTTTCCTACAGCTTAATAATTTATTTTCATTTACAGTTAAATTTATAGAAAGAGTCATTAAAAGTGTCAAGACCAGTTGAATAGCAATTACTAATTGTATTGTAAGAACGACACATTCTACACAAAGGCTAATTCAGAAGTATATTTGTTCGACAAGGTGAGACATAAAAAAGTTTTGTAATATCCTGTGCATTTACCGTGTTTGCCTGCGGAAAAATACTTCACTTCGTTATAATTAATTTTATAACGAAATGAAGTATTTTTTATTAATTTTATTTAATTTTATTAATTAATTAATTAATTATAATTAATTAATTAATTAACACAAAGATCGAACACAAGGAAAAATTCCTTCGTTCTGTCAGCATTACTGTGTTCCGCTTTTGAAGGGTAAGGTAGCTGGCGAAATTACAGGCACACGGGACTTGTCAACTTATGTCGCAGGATGACGGGCGCAGTGGCAGTACCCTCAGATCTTTGCGATTTAAAGCTCTATGGACAGGTGTTTAGCTTAACAGGCGCACGATTTGTTCGTCCCGTCACTTGATATTTTAAAAGCCTTAAATAATGTTATTTTGGCTTCCTCACTACAACGAGCTCTTTGTGTCAACATAGTACATCTAGCAGCCAACGCCCTACGTTGTCGACCAATATCAGTTTGGTCTTTAAGCTCCTCCGTCAATTAATGTTCAAGGTAATTAAATTTGTCAACCCTACTTCAAGGTATAAGATAGAATATTTTCTTTGAATTTAACCACCACTAATGTTGTGGCACCTCTTTTCCAACAAGAAAAAGAATCATCTAAATCAATTTGTTATATCAATTTATATTATAATGGCCTGTATTTAGTACATATAAATACAGGCCCAAACATACATACACTTACAACAAAACATACTAACAATCGTTTTTAAAACTAATTTAACAACAGTTAATTTTCATTTTGCTTATTTTGTAATTGTATGAGTACACGTGTCTTCCTGTCTTATGCCTATCTTTCTCACATCTGGTTAGAGGTGTAAGGGTAGGAGCCTGGTGCCCTATAACACAGGTTAATCCTGGTATGGACACCAGACTTTCACAAATGAAACTCAAGAACATGTGAGGACCATAGGCATATATAAATATAAGTTTATTTTGTGAAACTTAATGAAGACATTTTCATTTTTCAATTCATTGACGTCGGCGTAACATACACACACAAAATATATACTCCAATTAAAGACCTCTTCCTTCTTTTGAAATCGGTTAAAAACACTGCAGAACGCTAGGCTATTTTACCTAACCGATAACCAAAGCACTCGATAACATTGTTTCTATCTCTATCAAAGGTAAAAACCACTAGATTGATTTACTGTATCTACTGGCACAGTTTGATAATGGCATTTTGCTTTGGGGAAGTACAGCCGATATTAATACAATATTTGTTGGGTCAAAACATGTAGCTAAGGAAATTCACAATCTGGGTCCCCAGAACGTCACTAAAAGAAATTAACACACACTAGTGTCACAGTTCATTATTTATGATAAACTTATTAATGATAAGAACAATTTTTTTTTCATTTCACGCCTATGCACAAAAATTGCAGTGCCACTCAAGAGCTCTACATCGCAAAGATCTGAGGGGCACTGCCACTGCGTCCTTCACCCTGAGACATAAGTTGCCAAGTCCCATTTGTCTGTAATTTCACCAGTACCCTTCAAAACCGGAACATAGTAATGCTGACATTACTGCTTGGCGGCAGAAATAGGGGAGGTGGCAGTACTTCCCTGGACGAACTTTTTACACAAGGAGCTCTAATGCTATTAAATGTAGTAATTGTAAAAAATAAACGATCTTAAAAGTGTGGAATTACATCTAATTACCAAGTTTTATTGAAATCGATTAACGTACAGTATGTAAAATGAAATTCGTCATCCAAACCAGACTCATCCTCAAATTTGCCATCCTTATAGGTGGAATATTTTCTTCAAATTTGAATGAGACCGCTACTAAGATACCCCCTTTCCAACAAAAAAAGATACATCGAAATTGGTTCACAAATGTCGGAGTAATGTCATAACATATGTAATGTGTATAACGTACACTCAAAAAATATAGTCGAATTGAAAACCTCCCTTTTCTGAAGTCGGTTAAAAATAGTAACAGATCGATAACTTTTCTCGACAGCCGTCTTCATAAAGGGTCAATGTTTGTATACGTTTTTGTAACGAGATTCCGGTTTATATTCAATATATCGATGAATTACTTTCTCTACCACGAATCTTATAAAGGGTGATCATTCAGGAAATGACAAAAATTTCTATTTTGTTTTAAATTTCTTATCAAGGTTATTTTATGTACTGGTTTTATTATTTATTTATAAATATATGTATATTTGCATTTATTTATCAATTTTTATCTGTTGATTAGTAATTCTTCATACATCGCCGTCTTTTTCCTGTGAATTATATAATTACTTCCATCCAAAGGTTGTCTGGCAGAAATCGCTTATAGCGATAAGACCGCCCATTGTACCACCGCTTATTTTTAATTTAATTGTATTGTATTTGTTTCCTTTTTTGGTGTACAATAAAGAATTTTTGTATTGTATTGTATTGTATTGTATTGTATTGTATTGTATTGTATTGTATTGTATTAATTTGGATGCATTACTTTAACAATAGGTACAAGCCAATGTGTAAATATGAAGGAAATATGATGTGAAATCAACCTGCAAAATTTGTATGTACAATCTATTTTTTGGATTTCAGTATCTTTGTGCTTTAAGATGTCTGAGAAAGTGAGGCGTCCCATTTGTCCCATTGCTATGCGACACAGAGGGAAAGTACTTTAAATATTGCAGATAGGTTATTTTGGTAATGAAGATTTTTTTAAATAAGTAATACCGCATTCAAAGATTTTTTCAAAGTTGCTTGCATCACCTAGAAATCGAACGAAACAAATGTGAAAAAAATCCTGTATTTTATGAAGTCGAACTTTTTTTGTAATATCACGTGACGGGACGAACAAGTAGTGCGCCTGATGGTAAGCTACACGCCTGTCCATAACAGTTGCATTGCCTGAGAATCGCAAAGATCTGAGGGGCACTGCCACTGCGACCGTCACCCTAAGACATTGACAAGTCCCATGTGCCTGTAATTTCACCAGCACCCTTACCCTTCAAAACCGGAACACAGTAAGGTTGACTTTACTGCTTGGCGGCAGAAATGGGTAAGGTGGCAGTACTTCCCCGGACGAACTCTTTCACAAGGAGCTCTACTGCTACTAAATTTCCATCAAGTGCGAAAATTTGCGAAGGCAAAAATTTCTATTTTGTTTTAAATTTCTTATCAAGGTTATTAATTTGGATGCATTACTTTAAGAATAGGTACAAGCCAGTGTGTGAATATGAAGGAAATGTGATATGAAATCAGCCACCAAATTTGTATATACAATCTATAATTTGCATTTCAGTTATTATGTGACCAAGATACAAGTTTGAGAAAGTAAGGCGACGATTTGCCAAACAAAAACTTTATATTAACTGCGTCTAGAAAATTTGATTGGTTTTGATTAGATCGTATCTATGGCGATGGAGCGAGCTATGCTAAGATTTCTCTGATGGACTGAATTCCTAACGAGGTCATACGTCAGAGATCTAAAGTGACCGACATAGCTCGCAAAATCAGTAAGCTCAAGTGGCAGTGGGCCGGGTATGTCTGCAGGAGGGTTGATCGCCGATGGAGACGACTCGTTCTGGAATGGCGACCACGTCAAGGAAAACGTAGTGTGTGACGCCCTGCAGCAAGATGGACGGACGACCTGAGAAAGGTGGCCGGCAGCGGCTAGATGCAGGCGGCACAAGACCTGGAGATTTGGCGCGCTCAATGGGAGACTTATGTCCAGCAATGGATGCGTGAAAGCTGATGATGAAGGTCGTATTTAAAATAGGACGAAACTGCATTTGTACATAGGGCGCACTATAAGTTTCCGGAACTGGCCACTTGCTTAAACAATATTTAAAAAGTAATTACAACATTTGAAAATGGAACTCTTTGGCTGTAGAATACAGTTTGTTTCATCTGACTGTCACTTGTTTTACATTATGGCGTCATTTTAGAAATTGGTTGTCTACATTACCATGAATTTAACTCGTGAAAATTTTCGTAGTATATATTCTTACGACTTTAAGTGTAATGGATCAGCTCAGCGAAGCTTCGCTCGGCTTCAAACTGCATTTGGCGATGAAGCACCGTGCAAGACGACTATTTATAGCTGGTTTGCAGAATTCAAACGCGGTCGTGTGAATCTCAGTGACGAATTTCGCGATGGTCGCCCGTCCACTACTGTGAACAACAAAAACATCAATGCTGTGCGCCGTATGATCAAAACAGACAGGCATGTGACATACCATAAGATTCGGGCATCTTTAGGCATAGGCATGAGTCAAATACAATCAATACTACACAAACATTTGGGTGTGAAAAAGCTGTGCTATCGGTGGATCCCACACAATTTGACTGAGGCTCAAAAAACGGATCGCGTCACTTGGTGCAATACCATGCTTACCAGATTCAACGAAGGGGCATCAAATTTGGTGTGGGATATAGTAACAGATGACGAAATATAGACTTATAGTTAGTCTCTCAAAACAAAACAGCAATCGAGCGTATGAGTTTTTCGAGATGAGCCGAAACCAATCAAAGTGGTGCACGTGCAAAGTGCCTCTAAACGGATAATTGCTTCTTTTTTTAAGAAAACTAGACACGTGGTTACTGTTGCTTTGGAGAATCGTTGTACTGTGAATAGTGATTGATACACGACCATTTGTTTGCCGTAAGTTATTGACAAACTCCGTAAAAAAACCGTAAACGCCGTATCATCTTGCACTACGATAATGCCAGTTCTCACACGGCCAGACAGACAAATGAATTTTTGAAGGTGAACCACGGTGAACCTTATGAGCCATCCCGCGTACAGTCCCGATCTGGCACCTTGTGACTTTTATATATTTCCAAAAATTAAGGACCATTTAAGCGGTCAATGATTTTCGTCACCTTAAGAAGCTGTCGAAGAGTATGAAAAATATGTTTCAGAGATTGTCACGGAGGAGAGGCATAAATGTTTTCAAAATTGGTTCATTCGTATGAAAAAGTGCATTAAAGCTAACGGAGAATATTTTGAGAAACAATAAATTAATTTCGGACCATTTAGAGTATTTTTTTTTATTCATTCCGGAAACTTATAGTGCTCCTCACTATAACATGTCCTTTGGTTTTCATAGTCTAAGGTTACGGCTGGCGAAATGGCGGCAAATAAAAACTTTTCTCACGCATGTCATGTTTTTTTTTAATTCTTAGACAAACTAGAGTTGGACCCAACTATCATACCGTTCGATATCAAGTAACGTGTGAAATTTGTCAAAATTGTTTGCTATTGACATTTCATTTCGAATAAAACTTCGTCTCGACTGATATTAGAATTGAGGTCGAATCAAATTGTGTTGTTTTTCAGAGTTGTTCCAAATTTGAACGTAATAATGAAATCGAATTTGATGTTATTACTTAGCAATAATAACGTTTTCACAGATAAGAATTTTCTTCTAACAAAACAGTTTATCTTTATGCTAGCCGTAATTTGCGGTTTTTGAACACACTGAGGATTTATGATATGTGTGTAGATAAAATAATAAAAATTGCCACGGAAATAAAATACCTAGCGAACACTAGACCGCGAATGATCGACCTATGACTATGACTGACTTCTCGGTTACGTATATAAGTAGCAATATCTCTTGCCGAGATGGTAAAGGAATAAATCGTGATTAAATGTGCATAACCTTTGTAAATCTTGCAAAGGCCAACATGAATTGGACCAGCACGGTACACTAAGGTCTAAACCCTCTCCGTATGGCGCATCTACACATGCCCGGCGGCACGCGCGACCTTACCTGCAGCTAGATTTTGATTGCCTCTCCCGATCGGAAACTGCGTCTCTTCCGAGTCGAGGCACATAATTGCGATTCACAACTGTCCGATCGAAAACTTTTGACATTTCAAATCGAAACAATAGTTGACTTAACTCACAAATAAGAAAGATATAGTAGGAATCAGGTTCATCTTCTCGCTCGGAAACCCATCTGATTTCGAGACTCGAATAGGCTACCCGATCAGGTCGATTCCGATTAGAATTAAAATCAGCCTGCTGCAGCACGCGTGGCTTTTGGATGCCGGCGGCAGTTCGCTTGCGGCTTCGCCATCGAAAGGTAGTGTGTGTCAGAAGAAAATATGTCGTATTAATATTTATTTACTTTAAGTTTAACAAAATGAATTTAATTGGGATGAAAGTGCAGTACTTTTATTAATACAAAAATATTATGAAAATGTAGGTACTATTGTGGAACCCAAAGCAAATTCAGTAAATATCAAATTCGTTACTAGAGATCCTTAGAAAGATGTTACATTTCAATGGAATATTTCTTCGGTTCATGTCGTTCATTCCAAAATCATCAAGTATCGTGGAAATATTAAGCCTATTTTATAGTCTTGGTCTGACCTAATAACTTCATTTTATATTGCGTTTCTTTTTACGATAATAACATATAACACAACTGCAATACACACAATTATATTATAGTCAAACATATTCCACTCCAACGTATATCACTAAGTTCAACGATAGTCACAACACTACAGCGAAAATGGCTACCGAAGTCGCTGGTAAGGCTCCTTCTAGACTGCATTTCAAATGCACTCCGACTGCAAATTTGCAGTTTGAATCCAGTTCAAATGCAATTAGTCCAACTGCATTTGAACTGCACGTCGACTGTGGAGCCCGATTGCAGTCGGTGTGCAGTTGGCGTGCAGTTCCAACGAAACGGTTGAGTGCAGTTGAAATGCAGTCTGTCTGTCTAGAGCTTTAAGCCGGCGGTAAAACCGGCGGGAAACCAGCGGGAAGGCAGTCTGAAAGCCGGCGGGCAAAGCCATCGGAATGTGTGGATGCGCCATTAAACTTCTCGAAGTCTTCACCCGTGCCCACATACATATACAGACTTTGAGTTGATGGTGATGACATTTGTTCGAGGTACGTGTAATTTGCAAGGAAATAGAAAATAAAAAATCTATGATCGGGTATTTTATATATTAAAATTTATAAAGCTAAGCTTCTTTTTACAAATTATAAACGGTACCTAAACAGGACAGTTATTATAAAAGTAATTTTTTAACACAATTATTTCTTCATTTTTTTGATTTGGTGTTACCTCTGCGTAATGGGCTGCCATAAGCTGGAACAAAATAAACATTTTTATCAAAATACGTATAAGGTCGCATTTCCATTGATCTGTGACAAATTCCCGATTTAGTTTGGTAGGTTCCACCGCAGTGCAGTAGAATATACTGCCGAGTTAAACGGTATTTGAAGTCAGGGTTAAATACAAGCACAGAGTATTTAAACGCCCTGTGATTTCACAGGCCGCCCGAACCGTTCCCATTCGTACATCCTCGTACCAAGCGTAAATCCATGCCACGTTGTGACGAGGACTCGAGTGTTTTCGCGCCGCGCTTTTGAAGTTATCGACACATAGCGGATTAGATGGCATCTAAGACGCGTTTAGGGAGTTTCTCATCTCGAAGATACTATAAGACGCGTTTAGGGAGTTTCTCATCTCGAAGATACTATTATGGAAATAATTTAAAAAAGTTTTGTACAATACTCGCATGAACTTGAAAGAACGTCATACGAGAATGTGTTTAAACAAGTCGAGAACTGGTAAGCAAGAACCTCGTTACCATATATTTTGCTGTATAAACTCGTGAATCTCGTATGATATATATAATCGTAGGCGAGCTTTTTAGTGCTTGCCCGTATATGAATATTTTGATACGATAATGTTATAGCGATTATTGTCTGCGATAGTAGCGTGTGATTTCTCCGCGAAGCGCCCTATAAACTCTTTGCATCTAAACGGGCCTTTAGGCTGGTCCCCACTGACACGAGCGGCTCTCTCGTCTCACAATGCACTGGCGCGAGCTGGCTTGGCGCAGCCCGTAAATTCACAGGCCGTGGGAAGCCACCTTTAGAATCGATACTACTCCAGCTTGAATTCAATTTTTTCCCTTACTAAATCGGTTCTACTGTACGGGTCGAGCGGCATGAACACTGCTTTTATTTCAGACTTTATTTTTTTACAAACAAATTAAAACCATTTGAAAAATGTATATCATATAATGTGCGTATTCATTTTAGTTCAGTTGATATAAAAAAAAAATCATTGGTGTTAAGTAAAGTACCTATCGACTACAGCTGATTTCTCGTAAAATTTCGAGGTAAGTTTGTGTTTTTTTTTTTCAATCTTAAAAATGTTTGAATCCTGTTTTCACACCATATACTAATCAGTGTATATCTTCAATCTTACTATATATTTTTTCTAAAGTGATTGACTCAACACTTTCACCGTTATGAGTAATCAACCAAAGCCATTTGAGGTTGTATAAATTCTTAAGAATCATAACATGTGTTTCAAGCCTGGCGACGTATTTACGTTGTCACTACTCTTAGCTCCGTAAAAATGTATAGGCATCGGTAGCCATCTTTCATTACTTCGGCACGTCTACCTGTTAGTGAAATACCTTCCACGTTATGATTACTTACGATAAGTATTAAGGTGCCCCGGATATCCTGGTTGCACAAATGTTGGTCCAGTAGCTGAAAGAAGAACATTATTAAGACACTATACTGAGGAGTTAAGGAACAACTAGGACGTAGAGAGGAGAAAGGAAGGAAGACTGCATAATATAGGCTATTATACTATATAGCCTCCCTTAACCGGTTAAAATTTCGCTTTTCATTCATACCACTAATCATTTTAGACCTGAGTCGATTTTATAGCGAGGGATGTATGCATACAAGCGACTTATGGCTGCAATATAACAACGCACTTAGGGTTCCGCTGGAGGTGCCGTGGCGATGCAGCGCTTTGATAAAATTAAGCAAATTATCTGTGGTTTTCCACTTTAATTTGCTCCACTCGAATTAAAATTTTTCCCGTACCAATACGGTTCATTTTTCTATTTTTTACAAACGAAACTAAGGCCGCACAGTCCAAACTCTTGCTAGCTCTGCAAAGAAAACTATTTTATCAATCATTCGTACCTTTGGTTACATATTAAAGCCATATTATGTGATTATGCATCAGTGTTTTATCACCTGAAGGTCATAAATATAATACGAAGTATATGAAACAAATTACGGATATGTGAATTTTGTAATTCAGTTAATAAAGCATGAAAAAGTTTTCGACTAATTAGGTTCTTAGAATCTTTGAACGTCTCGTCTGAAAAATTTTGGTTTTGCAGATATGGCCTTATTATACCAAAGGTGCAATTCATTAGGGGCCTAAACATCTTACCGACAGGTTGGTACGGTCCATTGTTATCGACAACATTGACGGAGTGGACGCCGGCACCAGGATAAGTGGGACGGTTGAATGCTGTAGAAAAATTTAAAAACATCATGTTCCATTTTACGATATAAATTTTACGCTAAAAAGTATTCCAGATGTATAAGATTTTATCTTACCTGGGTCAGGATTCATTATGTTCACTGAAAAAAAGAAAAAAATTAACAAATATCCATTGGAAGTACATGGTCAAGAGCACTTCAAACATCACAATTACGATTAAAACTCAGCTCTGTTGTGTTAGCAATAAAAATGGTCCAGAGTGTGAAACTTAATGTGCTTTTGACTGTACATTTGTATATCAATGTTTATATTGATTTTGTAGAAAAACAAGTTATAGCAATTTGTAAAACACACGAATGGTGTAGCCTGTTTTTGTCAGTACAGCTATTAATGTTTGTTTTTAATTTAATAATCGTCATTAAATGATTATTTTGACCATTGACAATTGGATGTACATTAAGAAAAAGGATCCAATACACATCCAGTCACTTTCGAAAAATGGCAGTTTGAAGTTTAAAAGTGTTTCTCATTCTTGATTTATTGTCAAAACTATAATGTCATGTAACTCCAGAGATATTTATTTATGGTTATATGATGGATTTTTTTTGCTGATCTAAGAGGTTAGTTTTTAATAACCGTTTTGTACACACTCCAGCACATCAAGCTACACATTGACGTATCTTGTTCCGTTGCACTGGAGGCGATTTTCGAACAAAAATGTGTAGTCTGATGTGCCGTTGTCCGTACATATGACTTATTTATTGATAATTTTGTGAATTGGATCCGTTTTGCTTAACTACGTCCAATTGATTAGTTTAACTAAAGAGAGAAAAAAATTCATTGGATAATTTTGTTTGTTGACTCCTGTGTTACGTGTAGGTGTTTGTGTTTGTGTGTGCTTGCGTGCGACTTTGCGTGCGTGCAGTCGTGCGCGTAAGTATGTTAAATCTAACTAAGTGTACTTTAACCCTAAGCCGCTGCTGAAAATGTATTATTTTAATGTATTATTATTATATTAATGCTAGATAATAATAGTAATAAAAACAGTATTTGCTCGATTGACAGAAATTAATTAGTTTCATATTATGCGAAAAAAGTATTAAATCTTCTTACCAGCACCCGGATTATCTGCAACAATAGAAAATTATTTTTACAAAATAAAAAATTCCGTCGTCACCATTTCATTGTTTTCATTTCACAGTTTTTACTGCACATTATTATAAGGAGAAGTATGTATGTACGAGTATGTTTATAATGTACACATTTCTGTCGCCAAGCAGTAATGCTCAGACTACTGTGTTTTGTTTTCGAAAAGTAAGGGTTTAAAATTACAGGCACATGGGTTTAATGAACTTACGTCTCAGGGTGACGTGACGAGCACAGTGCCAATGCCCCTAAGATCTTTGCGATTTAAAGATCTGAGTGGCACTGCAACTGTCAAGGGTAGGCGTGTCTCTTACCACCAGCCTCACGATTTGTTCGTCCCATTACTTGATATCATAAAACAACGAAGTTTTGGTAAGTATACTATTTGTAAACCAATCGCACGTGATAAGGTAAGAGTGTGAATTGTTTTTTCAAAAAAACTAACATCTCGGGTTCTTTATAAGACAATATGCTTTGTCATTAGACATAACTTGTTGATGGCTAATATCATCTCATCTTATCTCATCAGTCAGCTCAACGTTGGTTTGTTTGCTAAATATACGCACAGAGTTAAACTGTAATGAAGATCATTCAGCATGCGTAGCATAGCGGTAACACGTTTAATGCAGTCGATAAGCTATGTTGTCATTATTAAAATTTTATTTTTGAATTGCAAATACTGAATCAGTAAGATACCGCACTAGATTCATTCATTCTTTTGTTAATTTGATAATGAACGATTGTTATACGTTTTGAAGAACAAGGATAGCGATATGAAAATGCGTAAATAGCTATCTTGTTCGTTTTATCATCGCCGTGAAAATTGTAATCCTTTTAATTGCATCGGTTTTTGTAGTTACAGTTTTTACATTGATTACATTTTTTTTATTATTTACGTATTTCAAATTACTCTCAGTTAAAGAGCTATGTTATAAATGTTCTCTTCACCTTTTTTCTATAATTAATATGTAACAAAATGTTATTTTTATTATTTCTGTTTATTTCGTTTGCGTTGATAAAATTACGGTGCAGAACTGTCAAAATATTTTAAATTCAGCTATGACCTTGCGGCCATGTTTAGTCACTGCGATATACTTCCGCGGCCATTAGTCACAGCCTTGTCACGGCGCGCGCAGTGCGTCAAAAATGTGGTGTCACGGTGCTCGTCATGTTTGTTATTGTTATAAAATTCCAAAATAGCGATTTTACCACTCGAATTTGGTAGCTAAATGTGGATATATTAATTTTATCGCGGGGGTTTGCTGAGAGCTGGAATGATTACAGCCTTTTTTGATCTATCAGACATTTTCATTTAAAGGGCATTTAAAAACGTAATATCCAATATCATTGTATGTGTCTCTTCTGCAAGGAACAAGTTTTGAAAATAAAAAAATCTATGATCGTTTATTTATTATTATTTAATTACTTAAAATGTATAAAGGTAATCTTTTTACAAATTATAAGCGGTATACAACGCAGTTATTGTAAGAGCAATTTATTAACAAAATTATTTCTTCATTTTCTTTCATTAGTGTTGCCTCTGAGTAGTGGGTTGGTATGAGCTGAAAGAAAATAATATTCATCAGAATACATATATCATAAAGTTACATTTCCATGGACTTAAGACTATTGGATCGATACTATAAGCAAGTTTTCCTGTACAAATTCCTGAATCGGTTAGGTAGGTATCACCGCTGTAGATAATCAGGGTAAATAGAGGCACAGAGTGGTTAAAGGTGGTTTCACACGGCCTGTGATATCACAGTTACGGTCTGTGATATCACAGTCACGGTCTGTGATATCACAGTCACGGTCCGTGATATCACAGTCACGGCCTGTAATATCACAATCACGGCCTATGATAACACATTCATACGTGCTCACGCCAAGTGTCAATTCGTGCCACCTCAGGACTACACTCGTTGTGGCGCGCCTTTGAAATCACCGACACATAGTGAATCGGATTCTTACAGCGATGCCACAAGGGCGTTGCGGGTGTATTGTGTTGCCAAAACGTCATGATTTCATCACACCGAATACCACACGAGAAATGAGGAGTCGCAACATAACGCCACTTACTTAGACATCGCAGCACCCCTTCCCGCTTCGTCTCCTGGCCCTTGGCGCGCATCGGACATATATGTTCCGGTATCGCATGCACCGTTTCAGCGCATAATGGCGTTACCGCTCAAGCGTCTAACGCCGACACAACGCATGGCGTGGTGAGTCCTCACCGACACGATCAGCTCTCGTCGCACGATTCGCTGGCACGAGCTAGCGTGTCATGGCCCGTAATTTTACAGGCCGTAGGAAGTCACCTTAACCGATATAATACCTCAAGTATGGCAGCGTGTTAGCGTTGTCACTTTTTCACTACTTTCTTTCTTTCATTGCTTCGACCCATCTATCTGTTTACTAGTTTGTAAATATTCTTTAAAAAAGGGCTTGTAGAAATGGTTTAGAAATTACTAGACAATAAGGTCACATTTTGTGCCTAATAATATTGTTGCCTCTTTGCGTACATTATAATAATAGAAGTATATTATGATTAAGTATACTTGAGCAAGTACCTTGTGTTTTAAACTATAGGTAAGAATATAGGGAGGCCATATTCTGAAATGCAAAATTAATTTACTTTTGTGCACATTTGGTTATTATACAATTCTAGAATAAAAAACAACTTAACGACAACTTAAGGCATGTGTGTGTGACGTACGAATCATAATTAGATGTCCAAAATGTACCTAAACAAAGAAATGTCATTGTTCAAGAGTGAATGCAGGTGTACAAAATATTATATATTTAACGGAATTAGAAAAGAAGGAAGTTTTCATCATATTAACAATAAACAAAAACTTTAACAACAACACACAATAATTTAGCAAACGCACTACGAAGAGAACACCACACGAGAAATGCAATTTTTATTCACTAAAAGAATACTTTTTGGAAAATAGTGCTTAAAAACGAATTACCAAGTATATTATTTGTAAAAGTATGTCAAATAGCCAGACATAAGTGTATCAGGAATGAGACCTAAATTAAAAGGAATTACTAATATTTATTGTTGATATTGCCTAAAATTCTGTTTAGTTTTTTGTTAATTCCAATACATTGTTACTAGATTGGTATTAATAAAAATACAAACCGGGAAAATATAAATATTTAAACATTGAATTGAGGCAAAATACTCCCTGCGTTCCTTAATAACATAAAAAAATATTATTATTAAGAATACCAATATTCTAATTAAAACCAATTATTACTACTTACTCGGACGTAGAACTGTGTAAAAAAAACAAGGACTTAATCACTTTTGGATGACCATCTATACTCTTATAATTATTAATACAAACATCGAACAAAAAAATTCTTCGATCTGAGAGGATTCGAACCTACGACCACGCCAAACCAGGGCGATGCTTTGCCATCAGTCAGCCATTGTGATGAAATTCTGTATGAATTTGTTATAGATTTTTGTATTGGATTTTTTGTCGGCTTTTTAACGTCCGGTCAAATTGAAGGATTTTTTCTTTGTGTATAAGGTCTTTATACTAATAAAAAAATAATTAAATGTCACGGCGGTAAAATAATAACGCACACACTTATAGCCCCGCACTAAGGAAACCCTGTATCGAGGGTGCCATGGACACCAACATAGACAACCACAAATTACACCCAAACTCACGAGAGAAATAATTACAGGCCAAACAAATATTTCTCTCGGGTCAGGAATCGAACCCGGGACCACTACGTGGCAGACCAGCCTGATAACCGGTCAGCCACGAAGACAGTCCATAATCCTTGACATCGAATAAAATCAAAATCTATAACTTAATAAAACGAAGAGGGAAGCTCTTTGACTCCAACACAATCTCGCTACCGTTGTATACATTGAAACTTCATATTCTAGACTCGACAGCAATATTATAATGTTCCCTGTGTAATTGGAAATGAGAAATATCAAGTGACGTGACAAACAAGTTGTACGCCTGGTGGTAAGCGACACGCCCTGTCCATAACATTTGCAATGCCACTCAGAGCTTTAAATCGCAAAGATCTGTAAGGCACTGCCTGTAATTTCACCCACACCCTTACCCTTCAAAACCGGAATGCAGTAATGATTACATTACTACTTGGCGGCAGAAATATGTAAAGTATATCCCTGGAAAAACTCAAGGAGCTATAACGTATTAATGCGTCTCTTGCATTTTTTACATCTATAATAATATTGCAACATAGGTTAAAAAGTCATCCGGTATCACAAGCTTATTGTCATAATCATATTTATTACCTCGAAATGCACCTCATTATGATAAATGAACAGTAGCACGATAGGGCGCGACTAGCGTGAGAGCGATATAAAGTGCGACATACTGCTATTCTCGCATAGAGAACTCGCGCCGTATATCGCTCTCGCGCAAGTCGCGCTTGTTTGTGCTAGCCCTACAGGGAACGTGTTAAACGGGTGATGAGTGGGATGTTGGGAGAAGCGCGCACAATGTTTACAATATAAAGTTACTTTGTGAATTTTTCATATTTACTTACGATAATTATTAAGATGCCCGGGATAGCCTGGTTGCACTAATGTTGGTCCAGTAGCTGAAAAGAAGGATGTTACATTAACAAAAATAAGCATTACCGACGCCACCGGCTGGCATTCATCGTGTAGTATCTCGGGTTACCAGCTTCTGATACTTATACTTAACGCGAGGGAACTCAAGAACATTATGAAAATCTTTTTTATCTCTCACCACTGGTGACAAATTGGAAATTGATTACTAGTAACAAAACAAAATAATTCCGTTTGTCACCACCGAGACATAAAATAAAGTATAGGTATTTCTACTAACAAGCGTGTAAAAGCTTACACACAAGAACAAGTATATTCTTTATTTTATTTTATTCATATTTAACGCATTTCCATTTCGCTAATTTTCGAGATATTAGCACCTACATTTTTATTGTCACCTAAAAAGTGTCAATTAAGCTGAAAAATCACCTAAGTAAAAACTCGAGATTGTTGTAGATCTCGTTTCGCTGATTCCAGATATATTAATAACTCGATTTCGGTGAGAAAGTCGATTACGTTAGTTATGATAAGGAAGGCAACTTAGAAAACGATCTCTTCCAGACAATATTTCAGGAAGAAGAGTGTAGAATGGTCACGCAAAGCCGAGTAAAGTCTAAGTCTTACTCAGTTATATGACAAAACAATAGACTTTAGTAAAGTTGGATATCAAATCCTTTGCATATCAAAGCCACATGTCGATACCTCCAATGAAGGATACGCTAACTTAATTTTTGCACCTGTTCTGTTTTTATTTTGTTTTTTATTTTTTTTTCACAAAATTCATTTATTGTTTTTATTCGAATTTTCTTTTTTTTTCACAAATTTCGGGGAGCATAATAATAGTAAATAAATATAGGTAGCTGTTTACAAAAATAACAGAAACGGACCAAAAAATAAAGTACCTTAGTGTTCATTGGAGGTATCGTGTGTCCATCTTGTGAGCATGTCCATATATGTGGAAGCGAAACGCTTCGTATGAACCTTTGGAATATCCACAACATAGGGGAGAAACCCATGAAACCCAAACTACGTCTAGTCCTCCGTTAATTATTACACCAAGAATGCGAATTAGTCGTCGATAAGATTGAATAACTTACCGATGGGTTGGTAAGGCCCATTGTTGTCGACAACATTGACGGAGTGGACACCAGCACCAGGGTACGTGGGACGGTAGAAACCTGTAGAAAAAGAAAATACATATATACATTGTTGTACGATTTAAATTCTACGCTAAAAGGTATTCAAGTGTACTTGAACTTACCTGGGTCAGGGTTCATTATGTTAACTGTAAAAAAGGAAAAAATATTAATATTGTTAACAAAATATCTATTGGAAGTACAGGGTCAAGAGCACATTAAACTTGACATATAAGATTTCAATTCAACTCTATTCTGCCTACAATAAGAATGATCCAAAGTGTCAAACTTATTGTGCTCTTGACTGTACATTTCTATACAAATATTTGTATTAATTTTACAGAAAAAAAGATACTTAAATGGTCAGTATTTTGTCAGTTCCTTTGAAGGCAACCTCCCAGAGTCTGTGATTTTACACAATTTCTCGCATGGTCAGCGACAATGGATAGCTACACACCGGTCTCGCCTTTTTATATTAAAAAATAACCAATAACAGAATGACAACCCATTGTCGCACACCATTTATCCTATAAACTAGTGACGAACTCATGCGGGTTGATGGGTAAAATAACAAATCGTAGGAAGCCGCCCTTTATGACCTGATATAGCCTATTTTTCCTGTCGTTGACAATTTAATAATAATAATAATAATACCTGACTTTTTTCTCTAATTCTATGATTAGTGAAAAAAGTAAGGTACCTTATTGTATAATTTTGTCGTTTGCTCCTGTGCATGTGTGATTGTCAGTGTGTGTGTTGAAAATGTAACTAAATATAATCTATCCCATAACCGGCATTGAAAATGTATAACGATGGGTAACACTAAATAGACAGATATCATTTTCATAAAAATAGTACCATTACTATAGTAAAATAAAAAAAAATACTAAAACAATATTAGTATTGGCTAGATTACCTATATACCGATATACCATACTGTATCAACGTTTTAATGTCACGGGCTCTTTTGAGCAAGTGGATAGATACTTCATCGTCTATAAATCCTAGACTACCACCATAGCTACCACCGCTCTTAGAACCATGCCACACGAGCATTACGTAGTCGCAACGCTATGATTTCAACGTACTAAGTTGTTTGCTGTGACGCGCCGTTTCAATGCACCGTAGCACAGATTACTTAATAGTTACTGCACCGTAACACAGATTACTTAATAGTTACTACGTAACAGACGAATAACTCTCATACAAAATCTAAAATACCTACGCTATAATTGCCTACTAAATGTGATTAATGACACCAAGCGCTCACTACGAGGGAAAAGGAACTAAGCACGCGCTTAGAGATGTGAAAATAACGTTGCCCGCCGTACGGAACCGAATGCTCATAAATGAAAGACTTGTATTAGAGCTTGCGCCGACGTTGGCGACGCCCTCAGCGGTAGGCACTTAGCGCGTAACCTTGCGCAAGTGACGGAGCCCTGACTGTACAACGTAACGTCGCGTCGTCGCGTTCTCGCAACGTTCTCACGCAACGCATCGTGTGGCATATAGTAATTTAAAAGATTTAAAGCTCTAAGTTGGTACTGCAACTGTAATAGGTAGGCGTGTCGTTTGTGCACAGGTGCAAGATCTACTTGTCCCGATACTTGTTATCATAAAAAAATACATAGATTCAACCTTTACATTACGTTATTCTAGGGCATGCGAGTCATATTTTATTAGCAAAACAAAGTGATTTTGTTGAAAAACATACTTACACTGGGTGTTGGGGTTGCGATCATATCCGTTAACTGTAAATAAACGAGTTAAGTAAGTAATTTATTCATTTTGATTGTTTGTCGCAAAAAAAATTTGCTCTAGATTTTTTATGTGAAGCTAGCAATTACTTTACTATGATAATGTAAACGATTGGTAATTCTAAATAAAAATATAATTATTTTGTTTTGATTATCTATGGCTTCCAGAATAGCGACCTATCTCAAAATCATATATTTCATCAGAAATATTGTTTAAAAATATCTGCAGAATATCTAAACCGCAAAACCTCGGAATCGTATACAGGGCCATTGTTTTAAATAATAAAAATGTCGGTGTCTTTTTTACAATAAAATTTAGGTCATTCTGAGCTATTTCCATAGTAGAATAAAACAAGTAGGGTAACTCCGTAGAAACTAACAGCACGCTTTGCAATGTGTGCGTACACGGCGCGCGGCGGGCGTACACCCATACAAGCCGCGCTGTGAACTTTGTATGGAGTTACGATGCTTGTTTTTATTCACTATGCTGTGCAAAAAATGTACTATTGTGCTTCAGTCCAGTATTCTTGAAAAGCAGCGATATTTCTATTACTTTTAATCATTCTGGTATTTCAGATATAATATAAACCAAGACATATTATCCCTTATTTGTGTATTACATGAAGTTAATAATAACTCACACATCCATAACCGCGCACAAGGGAAACCCTGTGGAAACCCTGTGTCGCGGGTACCTTGAACACACACATAGACAGCCACAAATTACACCCAAATTTACGAGAGAAATAAATGTAGTTCATACAAATATTCGAAGAGAGAATAAAACCCGGGACCTTTGCGCGGTAGATCAGCCTGATAACCGTTCAGCCACGGAGACAGTTCATAAACCTTGATATCCAATAAAATTATAATCTCAGTACAGAGTACTAAAAAAACCGACCTCAAAAGTACGTGGAATTACGTCTATTTGCTAAGTTTCATTGAAATATCCCTAGTTCGCCACTATACAGGACTTGATACTGGAGATAATAAAAATAGGTTCTCACTACGACACTACTCAAAATATATCGAGAGAAAAACGCCTTGAGTTGGAGAAATAGCAAAATCAACTAAATAATTGCTAAAAGTAATTGCTCCCAAATTAAAGTTAGGCGCTATTTATAAAAACGAATCTTCATGCGTGAACACCCACCCTTTTAGGTGATGATTTTCTTCAAAATGAAATGAGACCACTATGGAAATACCCCCTTTCCAACAAAAAAAGAATCATGAAAATCGGTTAACAAATACCGGAGTTATCGCGTAACATACATACAAAAAAAAAAAAGAAAAAAAAAAAGAACATACAGTCGAATTGAGAATCTCCTCCTTTTTTGAAGTCGGTTAAAAATCTATAATTAAGTTGTATTTATATTAAGCTGGCATTACTCCAAGCCACAAGCGTTAATATTTTGAAGCCTTATGCATTGTGCGAATATGGAGCTAGTATAGCGCTATAACCGCCTGAGGCCCCATGTACGTCAATGTGTACATAATATGAGAGGTGATACAAACCCAGACAATATTATTTTTTATGATCACGTAAACGCCCAGTGTACATTGTGATGAAAAAAATTAGCGCTATGTGCTATTTCTTCTCGGTTTCTAGAAAAATAGTGCGCTTTCCGTACAAAACTGAGGGCGTACTGGCTTGGGCCTGAAGCATGTAATTACATATATTTAGTAATTTTAATGTACATTGGGTGTTTAGCGCTTTCCCCATTGCAGTCTTTCTAGGCCCTAATAGGATATAGGACTATATAACGAAAACATTAAATCAATCATTATTTTCAGATCTTGGGCCCTACTCTCATAGTTCAACGAAAAGACGGGCCCGTTAAAAACTGTCAAATCGTGTTGTCATACATTCTTAGATCTAGCCTCGATCGAAACTCAAGTTGTAGCTCATCCATAGTGAGAAAACGGATATCGTGCTTCGAGAGTAGGACAACTAAATGGAAACGGCCGACTAAGACGGTATTAGTGACGTAACCATGGGACCTATAAAGCTCAAAACGATTGTTTGTTTGAAAAAACGCGATTTAGATCCAAAAAAATAGATTCATTTCCAATTAAATAAATCTCAAAATTGAAGTTCCGATGTACTTACTCCCCATGTTGGCTTTATTAATTTCATCAATAACTGAAACAAAAAACAATATTTTGTTATTGTAACATTTAATATAATATTTATGTGCCAGACAACCACACCATTTGCCTGGTCTCAAACTAGGGACTACCCTGTACTACAAACACCAGAGTAGTGAAATTCTGGGGTACTTCCTAGAACACACATACTTGAACCAATTTAGAAAAGTTCCCACCGGTGATCGAACCCGGGACCTCAGCATTCAGTGCCACTGTGTAAACCATTAGGCCACCATAGTCGTCAATTTTTTAATGTAAATATTGTGACACACAGAAAAAACTACAATTGAAATTAACAAGATATACGTATACTTATTTCTAGCGGAACCACGCACAATCATTACAACAACAATTTTATGTAATAAATTTCTAATTTTTAATTTTTTTTAAAGCACACGGCCCCGCACTCATAAACAACCACAAGTTACGCTCAAAATATAAATGTAGGCTGTACAAATCGATACCTCCAATCATCGAGTATGTAACCAGAAATAGAGACGAAATGTCATTTAATTTGTTTGAAAACTATTCCGCCAAATCATTAAGGTAACAACTGCGCTCCGATTGGCCAGCCCGAATTCGAAACAAATCACGGGTATCGTCAATTGTTTCACTTCAAAGCGACCAGTTTAACTTGAGCTTTGCTTTGGACGAAAATTTAAAAATTACATATTTAATATTTGATTACCGACGAAATGTGATTCCGTTTGTTTTGTAATTAGAAGTTTTGCTGTTTTCCTCTCACCACCGAATGGAACATCCCCCAATAGTTAGAGATATTATCTTTATTACAATAAACACAGAATATTTTTGGAATATACGGGAGACGTACACACAGGTAAGTTGTAGGCGCAGTACTGTTTCAGCTTTCTAATTCGTGATTTCAGTGCAAAGCAGAGTTGATATTTAAAAGTGATATAAGGCCCATTTGTCTGATGAGTTGCCAGGGATGGATAGGCCTTATTTCGTCTCTATTTCTGGTTATATGCTCGACGCCTACAATGAACACTACGTCAACTTAATTTTTTGTCGTATTCTGTTTTTAATGTAAACAACCTTATTTACTTACTAATATTATGCTTCCCGAATTTTGTATTTTGTTTCTTTATCTTTTTTCACAAAATACGGGGAGCATAATATTAATAAAAAAATACGGCTGTTTACATTAAAAACAGAAAATGACCAAAAATTAATGTGTGGTATCGATATATTTCTCCTGGCCCAGGAACCGTTTTGGAAATTGGTGACTTCTCACACATTCCATGGGTAGTGAACCATCTTGTACATGCAGGTACTTTTCAATTTGGTTACACCCTCACCGTTCCTCCTTCGGTCGACTAGAAGGTCCGGAACACTCCATCCTTATGTCATTGATATACAACCCATTCGCACTAAGCGCTTTGCTTCCTCCTTTCTGATGCATTCGGCAAAGGAATCGAATACTCTACTTCCCGAAAAGTGCAATTTGGGGCTATTCAAGGCTAGAGTGAATAGGCATTTTTTAGGCAAACGCGTACCGTCGTCGATCACATCGTCGCTAAACATCACGGGAGATTGTGACCAAACGTGTCTCTATTACTTATACAAAAAAAAAAAGTTTAATAACAATATTTTCCCTCACCGTTGACATTCACAAAATGTACGCAATGGCAAACATGATGATGAACCCTAACCCATCGTCTTAAAACGTCACATAGCTAGATAACGGTCTCTTTTAAAAATAAATTAAAATAAAAAAAAATTACATGGATTTCCGCCAGGTCCGTCCGCCAAGTAAGCTGAAACAATAAAAATATATGATAAGAATATTGTCCATATATTATTAATTTTATTTATAAATTAATTTTTATTTATTAAAGAAAAAACGACCGTAATACTCAAGTCGTAAAAGTTAGTGAAATGAGTGGAGTATATAACCATAAATAGAGACGAAATGTCATTTAATTTGTTTGAAAACTATTCTGCCATACCACTGTGACAACTGCGCTCCGATTGGCCAGCCCGAATTCGAAACAATTGACGGGTGTCGTCAATTGTTTCACTTCAAATCGACCAGTTAACTTGAGCTTTGCTATAATGGACGAAAATTGCAAAATTACATATTTAATATTTAATTACCGATGAAATTTGATTCCGTTTGTTTTGCAAGTTTTTCCCCACATCACTGAAGGGAACACCACGCCATTGTTGGAGATTATTATCTTTATTACAATAAATACAGAATACTTTTGGAATATACGGAGACGTACACACAGGTCAGTTGTTGGCGCTGTACTATTTCAGCTTTCTTATGTGTAAGTGCCAATAAGAGTTGATGTTTATAAGTGATGTATCACTGATGAGTTACCAGGTATATATGTCCCTTATTTCGCCTCTATTTCTGGTTATATACTCAATGGTGAAGTGAGAAAAGTAAACGCTTCACCAGTTTACATTAGGTATAGATGCATATCGTCGGGGATAGTGCAAATCCGCGAATGTAGTATTGGTAAAAAGCGCGTATCTGCACCAAACCAAATTTCACAGGAGAGAGATTTAACGTTATTACTTTGTTATTTCAATGGCTACGACCATTGACTTACAAATAAATGGACGACGGGTCTAATACAAAAACCACGAAAAAAATGTCCCAAGTCAACCTATTTGAACGTAGTGACATGTAAAGGAATATGAAAAAGCTAAAACGTTGAATTTAAATTGTAATGTCATCGCAGTACTGTCTAATTTTGCTTGCTTCGCTGTCAATCGAACAAACGAAGACTAAAGTGTGAATGACGCTCTGTATACGAATGTAAAGCCCTATAAGTTCGGACACTTTTTAGCGCGGACCCGACGTCCATATAATTGTAAGTCAATGGGTATAGTGCAAATCCGCGAATGTAGTATTGGTAAAAGGCGCGTATCGGCACCAAACCAAATTTCACAGAAGAGAGATTTAACGTTGTTACTTTCTTATTTCAATGGCTACGAATTTCATTTCTGCGCAGTAAGCATTAATTTATGTTGTCTACGGACTGACAACAATAGATTCCCGCAAATCACGCTAATTTGGTTGCTACGACATTTACGCGGTTTTGATTTGGCCTCTAAATTACCGAAATGGAGACTCATAATCAAATGCTAGTTACGCGTAATTGCACTATCCCCGACGATGTAAATACTTCGCTGTTATTTTTTTTTATGGAAAATCACATAGACACATCTTCATTTGACCCGTCGCACATGAAACCAAAATAATGTCGTAAGTCAAAAATGATGGAATTGAAAAAACACGATTTAAAGTTAACAAAATTACTTTTATACAGTTATAAGTGGACAAATAATTATTATTTATAAATAAAAATAATCCCGTTATTCGCAATAAGATTCATACAATTTCAAAAATCTCTCACTAGATGTCACTAACGGCGACAAATGCCGAAAGCCAGTACAAAGATCCATAACAAAAACACACAGGAGAATTCGACAGCTCAGTAACTTAGTTGGTACGAGCAATGCTACGGTGCAGCATGGTCGTGGATTCCACCAGGTCGAAGATTTTCTGTGTTTGGTCTTTGTATTAATAATCATAACAAAAGTAACGGTGTTATTACAAAATAATTATTACAAAATATTTGCAAGAAGTACAACACCATACGAGAACTTCCTGTCTAAGTTTAGAATAATAGACATTTCATAATAGACGAATGCTCCGTCAAGTTGTAACACTCCATAGACTTTGTCACAATTTGATTGACTGTCCAGATCTTGTGCAAAATATTAAATACAATATACCCGCGAGATTTCATGGACGACATAGGCGCGCTGCTGAACAAATACTGGCAAGCTAGTTCACCTACGTCGTATTCTTTCTCAGTACAACGATTTGTTTGCGTTGTTGACATATTTTATTTACCTACTTCTAAATTTAAAAAAGCTATTACTGAAGCCCTAAGCTAATTTCTTTGTTTACTTTTTACTCGTTTCAGTTTTACCTTACCCATCACACACGCCAATTTCAATTTCAACTTTGATAGTAATAATATGTGGATAATGTTGTTGATTGTACGTGTACTCATGTCACATAACCTCACAACAAATGTAATCATACCATGTACAATTGTTTGTTATCCATTGAAAGTAAATAAATAAATATTTCACATAAAAATCTCATTATTACCATAACATTCAAACAGGTTAATTAACTACCTCCGTGGCCGAACGGTTACCATGCCGGACTGCCACGCAGAGGTCCCAGGTTCGATTCCCGGGCCGGGAGAAATATTTGTATGGCCTACATGTATTTCTTTCGTGAGTTTGGGTGTAATTTGTGGTTGTCTATGTGTGTGTGTCCATGGCACCCGCGACACAGGGTTTCCCTAGTGCGGGGCTATGTCGAGTGTATGCGTTATTATTATTATAGGTTTTTTTTTCATTTTCAAATAGTGTTTTCTCAATTCCCTTTTACAAACTTTTTTGTGTAAGTTTGAGTTTGACACACTTTTGAGTTACGTCAGTATTAGGTTTAATGTGCGACATAATTAATAGAAAAGGTTTAAACAGTAACACTGTCAAAAGTTCGACGATAAATAGTTGAAATTGGCAATATCGTTAAAAGTTTCACGAATAGTTAAAAACAGTGCTTCATATGGCAACACTAAGTTGAAGGGACAGTTTCTTCAATACCGGATTGTCTTTAGCTTTACGCGCTCGGCGAGCAAGTCGCCGGATCCCAGGACCACTTATTAAAAAATTGTTAAAATTTACAAAACTTATTTAAAAAATACAAAAACAACTCACGCGCATCTTGTCCATGGGCCATTACGAAAACAACAAACAGTACCTGTAAAAAAAAACAACATGTTATCGGTTGATTTCTTCTGACTCACAATTTTTTAAACTCTCTCTCTCTCAAAAGACCCGTGCCTACAAGAACGACTTTTTGAATATACAGCACTTTTATTAAGTATCTCTACGTTTATATAGTCAAAGCAATGAAATCATACTGTCAAAACATAACACTGATTTATCAGCTACATTATCTATTTTGAGATAACATTGTATTGACATATCTGAATTCCTGCACCAGACAGCAAATCAGGTAATTTGAAAGTATTGATTTTTTATTTCAATTATCCTTATCCATCATTTACGTCTTTCTAAAACATGCACGTTTATGTAACAAGTTCGTGTACCTATTATTTCTAGAACTCATACAAGGTGTTTACAAAAACTACATTTGAAATTCCATACAAATTTAAATAGTATAATATATTTTTAATCAAGGGACTAAAACGAGCCAATATAATAATATACCCGAGGTGGTTAACCATCTGAGTTTTATCGTTCGTGGAATTACATCTATTTGCCAAGTTTTATTGAAATCGGTTACCGAAAAGTGCGCAAAACCGGATTCATCCCCTAGTTCGCCCCTATAAGGGACTTAACACAGGAGTTAATAAAATCGGCGCTCACTGTTTAAAATATATTTGGAGAAAAATGCTTTCAATTGGAGCATAGCAAAATCAACCATTAAAACAATTGCTCCTTATAAAATTTAGGCGCTATTTATAAAAATAAGTTTTCATGCGTGAACAGCCACTCGTAGAGGTTTTCTTCAAATTTAAGTGGTCCCACTTAAATTTGAAGAAAATAATGTGTATATATACCACTACATCCAAAAAAATATACAGTTGTATTGGGAACCTCCTCCCTTTGAAGTCTGGGAAAATTATACATTAAATATTGATTGTGCTTAATTATTTCATTTATTCGTATAAAAAGTATTGTATGCAATCATTACATAAGTAGGTCTTAAAATCTCGTATACCTAATACTTAGGCCACTTGGCAAAGCCTCGCGACCTAAACACGGTACTCCACTTTAAGAACCCTTATTATGCAACGATTACATAAAATGATATTAAAGTACACAATTGTTTTATGTTTGGATACTATTTTCATGTATAAAAAGTATATTTTTTTATAATACATGATAATAACATCCAAATATATAATAATTCTGCCCTCCTTGTCCGAGATATATAAGTTTCAAAAAAGGTAATCAGTAGGTAGAGTTGCTTGTGAAAGAGTTCGTCCGGGGAAGTTCTGCCACCTTACCTATTTCTGCCGCCAAGCAGTAATGTCAGCATTACTGTGTTTTGGTTTTAAAGTGGAGCGCCTACAGAATCTGGCACTAGGTTTTATATATTTTTTTCTATTTTTCGCATGTTTAGAGATCATAACAACTTTTGTAAAGATTTGGACTTATTCTCCCATAGTCGCTATACTTATTCAAATGTTTGTAAGGAGAAACTGATTGAATCTCATTGGGTTTATATACGTGAAACATGATTTTTTGATATTGTTTTTAAGTGCAATTTATTTATTATGGTCATCTGTTAATTTGTAAGTACTTTATATGTCGCAAATGCCGTGTGTGGCTGACATAGGAATACAAATTTACTCCTATTGTAACGCATGTTAACTTTAAGCATCTTCACAGTTTGTATTCTGTAGCTATGCCAAAAATAAAGAAATAAATAAATATTTGGTCTGCGTAAATATGACAATATCTCTGATTTCGATCGATTAAAATGGCTCCCAATCCGACTTCGCAGAAATTTGTACATCTTTTGTCTTCTATACAAAACCCTACACTGCGCCCAGTTTCCTCACTATCTACATTCCCGTTTTGCTCTCTTACCAAATTCGAATCAAATTCAGGCTGGCCAATCAGAGCGCATTTGTCACCGTAGTGATTTGGCAGAATAGCTTTCAGACATTTCGTCTCTATTTCTGATTATATGGTCTGTGCATAATTCAAACGCAAATTAAAAGAGCACCTTCTGTCAAACTCGGAAGATAATCGGTAACATAAATATAAACGAATAATTTGTTTTGATAATAATATATATCGTGTATGTATGTATTTATGTATGTAAACTTTAGTTAGGTTTATATTTCAGCCATATTTATATTGTCGTCATTGATTTTAATTTTAATTTTATTTTACACACGCCAGCTCATCAAGCTACATATTAATGTATCTTGTTCCATTGCATTGGAGGCGATTTTCGAACAAAATGTGCAGTCTGATGTGCCGTTGTCCGTATAATAATGTCCCGCAGACTTTGTTTTTGAAGAGATCTCGTCTAAAGATAAACTCGCCTTTGTATATGTCCTTTGTAACTTGTAATTTTTAATGTCATTTATTTGTGCAATAAAGAATTATATATTGTTTTAATATTTATGACTTTCATGTGATAAGAGCACTTATATCAAGTTTACGATTTAACATACTCTGCACATTTCGGTCTGTGTTCGTTTCAACATTTTTTTTCAATGTAAATCTTAGCACTCATATGATTCGGCAAAATTGTATAACTATAGATATTACGTGTAACAACACGTAATAGATGAATAATGAACGCTAAATTGTTAAATTGTTAGCGTCTATGATGAATTTGATGATTCATATAACCATTTGGTTTTTTTAATCTCTCAATGTGTCGTAGATAAAACGCAAACAGTGTGACTATTCCGTCTAGAAAATTACTCTGTGGAAAAAAATTCGAGATAACAACTGTTTAGTCTAGATAACAACAAATACCTATTTATTTTATTTACCTCTTTAGTTTTATTTACTAATTATTTATTTGGCCTTGATCTACATTCAAAAAGTAATTTTAATACCTAATTAAAATGTCACAAACATACATTACTTATGATATATTTTTATATGATACCTAGTGACGGAAGGAAGAAATCGTGCGCCTGATGGTAAGCGACAGTCCATAACAGTTGCAGTGCCACTCAGAGCTTTAAAACACAAAGATCTGAAGGGCACTGCCCACCATGAGATATAAGTTGACAAGTCTCGTGTGCCTGCAGTTTCACCAGCACCCTTACCCTTCAAAACCGAAACGCAGTAATGTTCACATCACTGCTTGGGGGCAAAAATAGGTAAGGTGGCAGTAACTTCCCTCTTTCACAAGGAACTCTACTGCTACTAAATTAGAAAAAAAGATATTACCCAAATTGGTGCTACCGGGAAACGAAGCCGTAATTTGAGAAACCTACTAGAATATAATAAAGAAAAAACGTACCGTACAAATTATCCCGTTAACCATAGAGCAAGTCATTAATATATATTATTTATTACACCAAACCAATATAAAAGAAATATTACTTATATAAAAGGTGCAACAAAAGACGTTTTGCAAAAACAAAAAGTATACAACAATAATAGAAATTTTATTTGATCGCGTTTCGTTAGCAAAAAACAAATGATTGTCCTGTAATCAAGTTTTGTCATTAAATATATATTTTTATCACAATACAAATGCATAGACATATCTACGTAGTACGTGGTCCGATTATTAATATCGTAAACAGATGGATTACAAAATAGAACAAGTCATCAAAACACGTTTTAAAACATTAATCATGAACTAAATCCGTCTATCACCGCCTATTGCGGAACCAAGAGCTCTTTGTAACTTCAAGAATGTTGCTAAATTACTTGCTCACAAAATTCGCTTGACATATGGAAATATGTGATAACATCGCTGTAAAGTTGTTTACTTTATCGGTATTCTACAGGACATATCACAGAGAGAGAGTGTGCGATGGTATTGCACAATTTGATTACATCTTCGCCTTTCCATCATGTGGTGAAATCCCACCAAGCGTTACGCTTCCACATGGATAACTAACGGCTGTGGAGTGGAATGAGCCTGAAGTCTAATTCCTGAACTCTGTAACGTGTGTGTAACTTTTTATGACGAGAGTTATCGACCTCATCGTCACTTTCCACAACGTGAGATGGAAGTCAAATGCGCACTTATTTTTTTTATAAAAAAGAACGCACAAGGCAAAGCCTCTCTTAATCTTTATCCATTACCTAATCCATTACGATAAATGATGATGTTAACAGATAAATCCCCAAATTCGTTAATTTTTGACATTGGACGTTATTCATATTACGATATTATTTTGACATCTAGTTACCATTAAAATTGACCCATGTGTGCACGCCCATGTAATATTATTGAAAAAGAAACATTTTTATACCTGGATTAGTGAGTACTATAAGCGCGTTATTTACTTATTTTGTACATGGTGTAAATAGTTTTTTGGGATAGTCGTATTTTACGCGGTTATATTATAACTCAGACGAAATTCAAAAAATTCTTTACACTTGAAATTGTCGGTCAGGTATTTAGAAAGATATCTCGAAAGACACAATCTTGAAGGAAAGATAGTTATTATTATTATTATATACATATATAAAGCTACAAGTTCTTACTCACTGATAGAAATATAATGCCTACTTCCCGATATGGTGGAAAAAAGATATTTATACCGTTGTACGCGGATAGATTCCAAAGCAAAGAATTAAATATGAGAAAACCTAAATGTGGTAAATATGAAAGAGTGATCAACGGCCTGCAAAAACTATAATATACAGAGGGAATATTTGTGCACTTTTATGAGGTACACCCTGGTCAATTTTCGCCGGAAGTAAAAAATGTTCGAAATTCAAATAAATAAGATGGCCGCCATACAAATTTCAAAGTCTCCTATCAAGGAAGCTATTAGAGATAGATAGGAGGTGCTCGAAGGAATGTCATAGAGATTAATAGTGGTCAACTGTCTGGATTAAAAAAAAACAAGATGGCGAATTCAAAATGGCGGCCGAAGAAAAACTTGCTTCGATCCGGCTGAAAATTAGTATGCTGAAAATTAGACCCCCGTCTTTAGGAGTCCTTAACCATAATTTGGGGTCAAAAGTTGCTTTTCGCCATTTTTAATATGGCTGTCATATAAGTTGTTTTCATCAAAAGTGGCTGCCAAAACGGACTTGCTCTGATTCGGCTGAAAATTGGCATGCGGAGGCCTCTAGAAGTGCTGGATAATAATTTGTGGTCAAAATTGGTTTTTCGCCATTTTCAAACATGGCCGCCATAGAAGCGTTCGTTGGCGGCAGAAAAAAATGCTCTGATCCCTTAGAAAATTGGCATGTATGGGTCTCTAGGAATGCTTGATAATAATTTGTGATCAAAAATGGTTTTACGCCATTTTTTAATATGACCGCCATTCAACAACTAATAAAAATTTGCTCTAATTCAGCTGAAAATCGATATGTGGGGATCTCTATAGGTGTTTCATAATAATTTGCGGTCGAAATTTATTTTTCGCCTTTTTTCAATATGGCTGCCATACAAACTTTTTAGCGCCAGATAAAAATTTGCTCTAATTCGATTGAAAGTGGACATGTCGGGGTCTCTATGAGTGTTTAATAATAATTAGCGGTCAAAATTGATTTTTCGCCATTTTTCAATATGGCTGCCATACAAACTTTTTGGCGGTAGATAAAAATTTCTTCTAATTCGACTGAAAATGGCATGGCTTCAATCACAATTTGGGGTAAACATTTTGTTTCTGCCGTTTTTCGATATAGCCGTATTTTTTTATGTAAATGGCTATTGAAAAAACTTGCTTTGCTCAGACTGAAAATTGGCACGAAAAGATTTCTAAGATTGTTTGATAATAATTAGTTTATTAATAATTAGTTAGTATAAATTAATAATCAAAATATATTTTTGCAATTTTTAAATATGGCCGCCATTAAAGAGCTATTTCAATGTTTTTAAAACAAATCCATAAGTGGATCCGCGGAGGGCGAAGCCCGAAGCGTCAGCACGCCGTCGAATGGAGATAATATACGAAGACGTAATATATTACGAGTACAAGATCTCACAATTGTAAAAATGTAAAGCATGCTTCCCGACGTAGTGGAAATGAGATAATTATTATAGCGTTGTTGTATCTGAACCGTCTCTATGTTAGATTTCATTTTGTTGAAAGCTATGCCAAAGAGAAGTATTTAAGGGGAAAAATGCCAAACTACTGCCGAATTTCTTGTATTATGTAGGTATATCGATACCAAATCAACGATAACCCAGAATACTAAAACCAACTTAGAAATGTTTTTTTTCTTAAATTGGCACAAATCGGGAATCGACCTCCTCATCAAGCGCCCATAGTACTAACTGCTGTGCCACCGAAGAGCATGAGCACACCCCGTGAACTGAAACCGACTACGCGCCGCAGGCCGAGCCCGAGGCCGAGGCCGAGTTGTTAATATAAAGATCACCTATGATCTAACTGACTGCGTCTGTTGCCTTGCCGGTGCCACCACTCTCATCGGCCAATTTTGTTTTTAATATACCAAGTGGCGGGACGAACAAGTCGTGCGTCTGGTGGTAAGCGACGCGCCTGTCCATGGCAGTTGCAGTGCCCGTCAAAGCTTTAAAGCACAAAGATCTAAACATTGCCACTGCGCCGGTCGCCCTGAGACATAACTTAATAAATAATAATAAAAAATTAGACTTGTTAGGGCCTGTGTTAGGAAACATCGCTCTTCTATAATATTAATAGTGATCTTGATCTTATATTAGTTTAAGGTGATGAAACAGATTATCTTAATATCTACTATAACTTGTGTTACAACTAATACAAATTTCACTAATTACAGTAATTTTTAACTTTTCAGACTAAAAATAGATTAACGTAAGTGTTAGTGTGTGTGAGTACAATTATGTGTATATGTGTCTGTAAGTGTGTAATTGTATGGAATATGTGAATGTGTCATCCATCCGTCAGATGTACAATATTCAAAATTATTATACATTGTCATACCATGTTAAATAGCATCATTTTAAATTGCTTGTTCTCTGGTTCTCATTCATTTTTCAGTGGAATAAATTCTTTTTTTACATTGTTTTAATCAAACCATGTTGTGCTCGTTCTATTTGAATAAATTTTGTTTTTGCTGCACCACCCCAGGCAGGAATACAGTATGTAATAATAGAATTGTACAAGGGAAACATAAATCTCTTTAAGGAGATCTCTAATAGTGACTTTGGTAGCAGCTAGATCAGCGCCCCCAGTCGGCATGACATACCTCAGTAATTTGAAAATCCAGGTTAGTTTCCTGATTCTCATTATTATATGCTCGAGGTGCGGGTACCACGAGAGATAAGTTGACAAGTCACTTGTGACTGCTATTTCACCAATACTTTTCGAAAGGGGGAGAAAAAACAGAATTACCAAAAATAATTATATGACAATCTATAATCATACCTTATTTTATTACAAAAAAGGACCTAGTAAGAATTTTAAACTGTAATATTGCACGATATTGCGCTTGAAGAGTAAATGATTATCTCTAATTTCAGGTTTCTTACCACGATATGACTCCGTGAACAGGAACTGGAGCACGTTAAGACGGTTTTGCGACAGAATGGATACGAAATAAAAACATATAAACCAATACAAAAAGGAAGAAGCAAATTGACATACAGAGACTACCAGTTTTTCTGCCCTATGTACAAGGGGTGACAGATAAAATAGCCAAGTTGCCAAGGAAGTTTTCCATAAAAACTGTTTTCACCCCCTTAACCAAAATAGGAAAAATGTTACGTCCACCAAAAGAACATCTTCCTTTACAAACACCGGGTGTCTATAAAGTGAACTGCAGTTGTGGGAGCTCGTATATCGGTCAGACTAAACGAACAATTGTCGATCGATGAAGGAACACATCCGAGCAGTAAAAAACAATGATACACAGAAGTCGGCTATAGCACAACATCTCACACAGACTAACACTAACCACTGGATCGAGTTGCGTAGCCCCCAGGTACTGTCGACAGGACGTCACTACATACGACGGTTAGTACGAGAAGCAGGAATTATGATTTGTATTAGTGCTGGCTGAATGAATGTAGGTTTGTATTTAGAATTATATAAAGAGTTAGGGTTTTCTAGCTAGAGTTTAGCTGGGATACCCAAGTAGCTGGATAGGTAATGAGTAAATATATTTTATTTGTTTGCTTAGGGCGTGATCATAATCTGTCCTTTTAGATAGGTTTTTGGCAGATTAAAGCCATAGCCTCCTCGGTATTTTTGTTCGTTGGTAAGGTAATAGCTTCCGAGCAGTCTGTGGCTAGCCTATAGTACAGGCTGATCACATGTGTAAGTTTGCCTATCACAGGTAGGGCACTAGCTAGGGAAGTTCCTCCCTTCAATTGTGAGGAGGGATGTAGACTAGGCATTATGATTTGTATTAGTGCTGGCTGGT